ACAATTAAATTCAGGTTTATGTGACACAGTTCTTTTGTGTAAAAATATTCAGACTCGATACTGAAATAGAATAAACATGGTTCTCAAATTTTGTTATGTTAATGAATCTCCTGTGGTAAACTTTACAAACTGATAACGCTGTTGACGTATGTGTTTTACATTTTTATTACATTTTGTGACGTAATATTACTATTTGTAGTATCGTACTGTATAATTTTTGTATAATGTGGATCAGTGAAAACGGTCAATGTCACAAAATAGTTGACACGTTAGAGAATTTCATTGATGCGAAATTCACACATTAAATAAAAAGGGTTTGTTTTTCTGTTTCCGCTGACAATCATTTAGGGATTATGATAAATTTACTATGCAACAATTCCGGTCATGAAGACTCTAGTGATCAGAAGAAAATCGGTTGCATTGTGGCTTTAGGTGTTTCGACAGAAGGAGCATGCCCTCGTATTGATTTAAAGGTTAAGATAGGTGGAACCCTCCAAATCAACGCCTTTGCGAATTTGTAAACCTGCAGACAAGTGAAAGTTTACGTTTACGAGAGAATGCGGTATAAAATGCAAAAATAATTCTACAATCACTTCCAAAATCGCGTTAGATGTATTCTACGTCTTCACAGATTTGACATTTTCCAGGAAGAGTCTACCGTGACCCTCCACCTTAACTAGTGCCCTCTAAAATCAACAGAGAGATGAAGGGACACTCGGAAATCCTCGCTACACCACTGAAAGAATGATATTGTCGAAGAAATTTGCTAGGCGATGCTTGACATCTTGTAATTTTTAAGTGGAATCTCTTCAATAACATTGTCATGAGAGATTCTTTTACACATTTCACATCAAATTTGTTTTCTCGGAAGTTTCTATGGCGTAGTCTCTGGAACTATGACAACAACCATTCGTTTGGTTCTGTATTTCTTGATGCAGACGTCACATCCTGTTTGTGCGAAAGATAAATAGAATCAAAGGACCGAAGCAAGAAAGTTCATTAGACTACTTTGCAATTAGCTACAAATTTGGATGCGAAGACAAAGTCAAAGTTATTTGACACCAAAAAATATGATCAAAGGAGAAAGTTCTCAACGTTGTTTACCAATATGTATCAGCCAACTTTTAAATCTTACATGAAACAATAAAATCACCTTTGCCATCTATCATTAAAACAGGTCTTCAGGTGATAATGCCACTTTGACAGTGTGATTAAGCCGTTACATTATATTTAAATTTGTGTCATAATCACAACAAAACCCTATATTATCATCATATTATAAGCTGTGATTTTCACACATTTATATTACATACATTGTATATTTTACTATTGTTATATAACTCCTCCAGGCGATTTACAGTGTGTTTCAGTAGCCAAGTCATAAATCCCTCTCAGGCTACGATCAATCATGGAATTGTTTTCTTACTTTGATTGATCTATAACAGTTAAGTTTAAGGAGCAAATTTGTGTTTGGGAAATTTAAGCTGTCTAATTTCCAGAAGCCAAAGACTGACAAGAATACACCCCCGGCTACTCTGAATATATTATTTTCATATTCGAGATTTAGATTTGTAACTTCATTGTATGTATAGTGACAAAACAAAACACTGAATGATGTACGATGTTATATCGTCATACACCGTTGCTGAGGGAGCGTGACTCTCACCTAAAGGAGATTTTAATTATTCAGGCATTTTTGACATTTTAATTCGATGTTTATTATAATATAATATCCGCATGTGTATTATTTAAATATATTCATTCATTAACTGTAACTTGTATAGAGAAATTATTTCACGGTAATTCAATCCATTGTTGCTCTCAATTGTATTATATGTCACCAAACACTCTGTTAGGCCTATTCAATACGAAGTTAAATAAGTAGCCTAAATGAAAAATAAAGTAAGGGATTGATGACGTCACTAATCGCAAAATATCATGCTTGTATCACAAAAGGCCTCCGCGGTTAGTGACTTCATCAAACACTTAGTGGAATTAATAATTGGAATGATGCAAATTGATGCTATCAGTATCCCCGATACACATAACAAATTTAGAAAACCTCAAACCTTAAAGTTGAATTTTTCAACATGTAAAATGCCCTTCAATATATAATAAGTCTGAACTGAATGACGAAATATGATATATTTAGAGGACTTATCCCTTTAATTGTATTAATTCGTCGTCATTCGATATTCTGATTTCATCATGTCTATGTATTTTCCATTGATTGTAGACGGACGTATCCACAGATTACACGTATACATCCTCTGATAAACAAAGGTATAGTATCACACAAAACATACAAATTTATAAATCATGATTGCATATATTACGTTGTTGAGAATTTCTTATGTTAGATTATTGGAATAAAATAGGCTATATAAAACTAGTGATATAGGTAAGGATAAAGCCGTTTTATCCATTATATTCAATAGGAGATAATATTCTACATAATATAAATATAATAGGACTTGTTTTTCAATGTATAGTTGAAAGTACAGAACCCGATATTCGCTGTAACGTTTATAATGAACCTGCATCTTTAGTACTCGAATTAGATATTCTTAAAGGGACAGTTGCGCTATTCTGGGGATTTGAGTATATGACAGTTTCTCAAGAATAACTTTCAATCGCGGATAATTCTGGACACACATTGATTTGAAGGCTCAAATTTCGACGGTGAGTCGTGAACAAAATTACTTGGCTTAGCTACACAAAATTCATGTTTCTGAGACTAGGGTATGAAAAAAATGGCGCACCTGTCCTTTTAAGAGCAAATCTTGCAATTTTTGACAACGACATACCTTTAAAATGAAAGAAGTTATCACTTACTGAAAAAAACTGTTTGAAGATTTCTATTACTATCTATTATTATTATTATTAAAACTAAATTGTAACGTGAATTTTCTTCAACCTATCGACTATTTAAAGAGTTTAAAGAACAAAATTGAGATCGTGTGATATTACTTGTCACAAAGCTTATAATATTTACACGAATAAAGGTATACAGACCCCTGTTGTTTAAATAAAATATCTACAATATTAATTAATTCCAACCTCGATAAGAAAAAAGCCACTAAATTCAATTCAAATGCAAGGTTCAACGCCACATCCATTGGGCATCTCAAATATCAAATAAGTTTTTATCATTAAAGATGACATCAAGGCGGTTGAAATTTTCTGTAATTCTCAATTGAAGATTTTAGAGTACCATATCACTTTAAAATATACCTATAATATCAGCCTTCTTTGATGTCTATATATATATACTATACTGTAGGTTATATAGTAGAATATAATACGTTTGAGTATATAACAGTGATCTATAAAATATAAATAATTTAAATTGCTCGTGAAAAGGTAACAATAATGACCGGAGGTTTTAAAAAGGCCTATATTTTCGCTCATAAACTATAAGCCTTCCAGGTATATAATAGACCTACTACCATTTTAAACAAACAAACAAGCATGAATTGGCAGATTTCTCTTTAGTCAGAATGCCATTATACTTCATTAGTCCAATGTCTACATGGATTACAAACTTAGTCAAAATTATTTGGGGAGAGGGGAGGGGTAGGTGCCTAAAATTTGTTATTGGCTCCCCTGACAGCATATTCGATCTCTATAGTCTCCCCCTCCCCCCCCCCCCTCTCTCTCTCTCTGTCTCTCTGTCTCTCTCTCTCTCTCTCTCTCTCCCCACCCTAACCATGTTTTGAACAACTGAATTATGGAGTTCAGAAATTTAAGAAAATCTTCCACAGACAATCCACTCCGACTTATTCAGATCATGGTGCAGAGTTAAGGGAGAATCGGTGAATACAGACACTGTAGTTGAATTAATTTGTTTCACAGATTTTTTGTCCCTGGCCTTGGAATATTAACTAAGCGTTAAAATAATTGAATTAACAAAACATGATGAAAAAAGCATGTTGAAATATAATAATTGTTCAGGTTCAATTCTAAACGTTAGCTCAACATTGAAGGTTAGATCTTGTAAAACGAAAAACACGTGTAAATTAACAGTACGAGGTCTGTAGATCGAAATAACTGGTCAGTAGCCAGAGTCTTAAGATTTCCAAATTAGACAGATCGTGATTTCACAACTGTTTTTTTTTTTTTTTTTTATGGACGTTCGTATTCCTCCACAGCTAGGCTATATTAATTCAATTTGACAAACAGATTTTGTTCAAAAATTTCCTCGTCTTACATAAGAAATCTAAAATAATACGAATGAGGCTAAAAGTGTGGGTTTTTTTTTTTAAACTAAGTCCGCAATTAATGATATTTTCGGAAGGGCGAATGAATTAAACTTGACCAAAAATGCTCCACTGGCTTTCATAAGTGAGGAATTTATAACCGAAAGGCACTTAAACAAAGTTTCTCGATATTGGGAAAGAACCTGCCTCTTTAGTCCATAGCAATCACCGAAAAGTTAAAAATAGCCGAAAAGTGTATGGTTATACCTATATGACGTCAATATATAATACCTATCTCTGTTGGCATTTTAACCAATCGGTAGAAAACACATTGGCCTCTAATGATGTCAAACTAATGGACGAGTCCATTTATTTCTCGTTTACTGAACACGTGGATATCTAGATCTGAGAATCGAACATTAATCCCCCCAATATCAAAATCTATTTTTGACTATAATTGACGTAGACCATCTTTCAGATCATCTGACTACCATTTTGCGGTGTTGCCTCGAGCTGCCTTTTCTCTTCGCGCATTTGTCAGTGACGGAGTCGGGCGAACATACTGGCGCCCCTTTATCAAGGAGCTACCAATTACGGCAAACTAAACGTCGATTTCATCCATCGACAGGTTGCTTCAGTGAGATAGGGGGATTCACTCGGCCGGATATTCGTAGATTCTTCTCTCTCCTCATTTCGATTTATTGATCATTTCTAGTTTTAGGGTAAGGGGGAGTAAAACTAAACAAATTTTTATGTACGGAAAGTGATACAGTTATAAACGGACTGTAAAAAGCGAGTGCGATGGATTTAGCATTCGCAAAACCGGTCAAAGAAGTGCTTGATAACTTCAACACTGACGAAAATTCCGGGTTAAGTGACGACCAAATCAAAAAGGCTTTGGAAAAGTATGGACCCAACGGTGAGTGGAATATAGTGATATTACTTTACAACATTGATTTGGCATGAAATATCCATATTGAGTTGTGAATGATGTGTAATGAACTGTCATGGCGGCTTCCACGACTGTAAAATGTGGCATTTTAAAACGCAATTATAATAATTTTTGAACAAATCCGAATAATTACTTTTGTCATTATTGGTCTCTGAATAAACATTCGGCATAAATCTAATAATATTCGTTTATTTTTTCTTTCAGAACTGCCCGCTGAAGAAGGTAAGTGAACGGAGCATTTTCTCGTTTGGTAAAATTATACTGTCGCTTATATCAACAACTCTTATGTCCCTTACATCATTCTAAATAAGTGCCTATGAAAATCACTTTAAATCCTTGGATTTATAAAGATTTGTGTTTTATGGTTCAGAGTCAAAATGTGTGGTTCTTTGAATTCCAGGAAAACCACTATGGGAACTTATTTTAGAACAATTCGATGATTTATTAGTGAAGATTTTATTATTGGCTGCAGTAATTTCGTTTGTAAGTATGGTTATATTATTGGATTTATTAGCAATAGTGCCTTACCTAATCTTCTGTGTGTTATTTTACCCTTGTGAGATATGTGTATAATGATGTTCTATACCTATACTGAAGCAGATGGTCTGACAATATACCTTGTCGGCATGACCTTCATCAAGGTCTTACTAAAAGGAATAGCAGGTAATGTTAGCTGGCCTACAATCCTAACTCCACATATGATATTTCACTTCATTGTGATATTATCATATCTCCTTTGCTTGTATAGAGTCCAAAGCTTGCTTATTCTTACAAACTCCTGATGATTAGGGTTATTGGCTACTTTTTTAAGAAGCATTAGGTATGATATATTTGGAATTGTCTACATCCTTTTTTGATCCATGAAGTTCTTGGTAAGGTTTTGAAGAATAGTATTTCATTGAGGCATTGCTTTTGAAGTTATTTTAGAATAAAGAATTGGATAAGAATAGAGATCTACCTGTTTATATACTGTAAGATAAATCTAGGATTTTTCATACCTAAAACATAAAAATCTTATGGTTGAAACCTTAATACTTAAAATAGAATTCATTTCTGATCCCTCATGGGATTAGTTATTTTCTGAGGTTTTTAAATTATAGCTAGCATTTCATTGTGCAAATCTGATTATTTTCTTGCATATATAACTTTAAGAGGCACAATATAAATTAGTATTTTGAGGCATAGATTTATAAAATTCCGTCAGGATTAATTTAGCAATTTTTCTTGGACTTCACTTGTGTTAGCTAAGATTGCTTTCAATTTTTTGAAAACTTTATGAAGAATACAGTACCCAAGCTTTTACCAATTGAAACTATATGAATATTCATTTACTAAAAATTACTCCAGGAGTGAAATAGTATATCGTCATTGATATGTAAATATTTAATTTAGAATTCGATTTGAATATATTTTCTAGTTGAATGAGCTTATCCTTCAGATTGCATTTTAAAACAGATGTATCTGGTTATATGTTTGGGTCACATGTACAAAATCCACTTCAAATCAAACTGTTCCAGTTGCCTTTCTTTAATATTGTTTATGACAGCATGATTTATTGATAAGTTATGTTGATGTGGTGTAAATCATTTAGCAGCCTGGTGGTCAAGATAAGGTCTGGAAGTTCATGATCTGGTGTTAATTGATGTTATGAAATAATGTATTCCTTGTTTTCCTATGTTAGAGTCTACATGGTTGATAATTATTGAGTAATTTGATAATGAGTTTGAAACCTGTAATAAAGATGATCTGATAAACACTAGCTGTGGTTGTTGAGATTGTCATGGTTACTTGTGTGTCAAAAGATTTCTGAAGACGAAACTGGCTGGTTCTGAGATTTTAATTGAAAAGTTCTGAATCAGAAAATGTTTTTACTTACTTTCTCAAGTATACTTTATTTATCATCATATTGCTTCAAATCTTCAAATTATGCTTTTACCATTTAAAAGCCATTTTGAACTGCTTTGCTAAAAGAAATAGTTGTATTTAGATCTGTTATAGTTAATTCTGCATAGAAAAATTCAGATCCGCGGTTTTAGACAGGTCATATGAGCGTTTATTTATTAATGCAAAGGAACCAAAAGTACAATTGTTATTATTGAAAGTGTTGCATTATACTCAAATAATTTGAATTGATTTAATGATTTTGAATTGAAAATTTCTTCTAGAATTGTCTGAAATGTCTTGTCTTCAATAATGTCTCATTAGGTGTGGTTTCTGGTCTGATAATGTCTTCACCTATAGTGTTATTGACTTTCTATTGACATTTCATTTATTATTGATCAAACATATCACTGATTATAATTTTATGGAGGTTTTAAGCTATTCAAGGTTAAGTATGGGAGGGCTGTTAACCTGATTTTGACTTGATATTTAGCTGAGCATATCTTGTGATTTCTATTTGTGAGTACCAGCTTGGTATCTTTTTTCTACATGCATTATTCTATGACCATGGAATGCATTTGCAGTAGACATAGTCATATGAAAATTTCAAAGAACTTGCGATCAATTGAGACTTCCTGGTATAATTTCACAAGAATTGAAATCAATTGTTCCAATTTACTGAGTTGTTAATTAGTCTATTAACCAGTACTGGTAGTTTGGATTTTCTCATGTCAAATTAATTTGGAGTGAATATTGATCTATCCTATCTGCATTTTAAAGTAAATATCAAAGTAGACAAGACCTGGTTAATGCATTTTTCGAAGGTTGATGTGTGAAATAAGAATGCCAATCACTTTAGTACATGGTTCGTTAAATTGCTGAAGTTTTATTTTGGCAGACTGCTGAAGTAGGCAATTTATAATCGAGGCAGCAGATAATTACATTATTTGTTGCATAATTCTGCTGAAACTTTGTCATCATTCTGCAAATTTAATCAGCGGTTTCATCGTTTGTGTTGTTTTTAGTTGTCTGTTTCTGATAAAATATTGCTTGTAGCGTTGAGTCTTTGGCACACTGCACTACAAAAAAATGAGTGAAATAGGTGTGCTATTTGTAGACTTGAAGTTCAAGTTTTATTTGAATTTGAAGAGGTATTTGGTTACTGTTTGAAACTGTTTCTCTTTTTAATGCAATTGATTGTTAATTCGTTAACAATACCATCTGGAGTTTCTCGTTTCATTGTTCCAATAAAAAATCACTTGATTTGTTACATTTTATAGATTTTAGAACACTTCCATCTTGTTTACACATGTTTTGGGAATGAAATCCATCATCAGGACACAGTTTGATGTAAACAAGCTTTAGAAAGATTGCTTCTTTTTTCAAGGCCTTAGCTTTTGATATTATTTGATTTCCTTTTTAAATTCTTCAATATTTTTATTGTTTGACAATGATGGTAAAAGGCTCGTAATAAAAAAATAACAAATGGAATGGCAAATAGGCATTAAATAGCCCAAATTCTGTGTTCAAATCGCATTTAGTTGGTATGTGAGATCAGATAATTCTGCTGCGCACCATACAAATTCTGTACAAAATTGCTATTTACATTTGTTTACCCATATTGTTTATTTGTTGAGAACTCTTCAATGTTAGAGGTATTAAAGGTAATATAGAATGGGTAATGACAGGTGCTGACATGTGGAGTTATTTAAATGTGTTGCCATGGTAATGTGTTAGGTAGCTAGGTAATAGATACAGGTATAGCAATGATACCATGGTTCTTGGTACCATACATCTCTTTTAGTGGAGTATCAGTCGTCATCATATATCTAGTGCCATTGAGTAAATAAAAGAATAATAATCACTTGGAATTTGGAACTAATCCTAATGAAGAAAATTCCATTGAAAAAAATAAATTTAATATGAATTCACATTGAATTTGGATAAGCTCTTATATACATGATTAATGGCACAATGTTTATTTTGAAAAAATTAGGAATTGGTAAGGACCTGCTGCTTAAGCAAACTGAAGGTATAACAAGTAGCTTTTAAAAAAAAGATTTAAATTATCATGCATCAATAAAATTACCCCTGTCACTGTCATTGATTCTACCTTAACAATTAAGGTTGAGTCAAATCTTTTGATATTATTTATTGCTGGGTGAAATTGAAGATATTTTTCTTTTTAGAGTTTCTCTGAATTCTGAAATACAATAAACTTTAAGCCTTCTTCAATTAACATTTAAAGCCCACGTGAGGTAAACTTACTAAATATACAAATCATTGACTGTGTTTAACTGATAATTAAAATGAGTAAATATATCTACAGTCAGTAAATAACTAGATATCACTGAATATCTCTCTAGTATATTGGTTGTGTGTAACAGGTGGAATATTATATGATGCTAGCGCCAGCAGATATATTCACTAATTACTGCAATTTGTTTGAGAGTTCAAATTTCAAAATTATGTTTGCTTTCTGTTTTATCTCTGACAACTTTTGAAATAAAAACATGCTAGACCTTCTGGAGCACCTGCATGATGATCCTTCATTGGTGTGTCAACATGCCTCTTGAGTGGTTACTGATCCATGTATTAGTCCATTAGAGTTGTCAACTTGTTGTTGTTATGGTCTTGACCTAGCAGAATTAGGCATGCAAGGCTTACTAAGTGTGTAATGCAATGATTTTCAAGGAGGGTATTGCAATCGATCAAGGATCCTTAAAGGGGTAAGAAGCAAAAGGTTGAAAACCCCTGTGATGTATGGATCATTTGCACCCTGAGATCTTATATGGTAGTATGAGTTTTGAAATTGTTGTTTGAGTATAATGCCCAAACAGTTTTGTAAAACTGAAATAAAGTTTTGGTTCCTCCATTTCATTTGATCTGTAAGGATTGAAAACAAGAGCTAAAACAGTTATCAAAGTACAGGCTGAATTTAGATGTTAACTCGGCGTCATTCCCTCAGCTCAACTAGTATTTACAACCTCTCTACTCTAATGAAGTTTCCCTGTTTTTATCTAATTCATTTAACAGTCTGCTTCACCGGAATTCAAATGAGGAATATTCCATTATTTAATTTAGCTTGGAATCAAAGACTTGCAGGATAACGGTGGCTGTAATTGCTGGATACTGGCTACTTAAAACTTAAAACTGACATTTGGAAGAACAGTCAGAATATTAAAATAGTAGCTGACTCCATTGAAGGGTTTTCTAAATTTTTCATGAGTATTTGGGGACACTGACGGCATTAATTTGCATCATTCAAATTTTCAGACGCCTGTGGTTCTTGGAATGATAAAGGATATTTTGCTTATAGTATCGTCATCAAACACTAAGTTCTAGTAGAATTGCAGGAATCACATACATCTGATTGAAAATTTGAATGGTGAAAATTGATAGTCTCTTTCTTTGATACACTTAAAATATTCAGAAAAGGAAAGACTTAAGTTAACCCCAAAAGCATTTTCTCGAAGAGTTTGCATACTCGACACTGCTTGGTAAGCGAATACCTGTCAGGAAATCTGGTGGCAAATAATGAGAGTCTAAAAACTAACTTTTAAGTTAATATCTTAAACAAGTGTAGCATGTTATAATATATT